GGTCATGGTGTCGTCGGAGGAGGATGGCTTACGTCAACGTCGCGGAATGGAGTCCTGACCAAGTATCAGAGTGGCTAAAGGGTGAGGAAGAAAAAAGGATGGAAACGTTACCATATCCTAGTGTGCCGTGGATCCCTTTCCTCCCGAAACCCAGAAGAACAGAGAGAAGTGCGAGGGCATTGGGTGTGGTGGTTGCGGCGGGCGTTTGTTGACATCCTGCCGCAGCACCTCCTTCCCTGCGGCGGGGATGGGTGGGCGTGCGGTGGATATGGAGGCGGTGGAATTGTTACTGGTAGATGCAGTGGGTGAGTGAGGGCGGATGTGGAGGGTTTGAGGTTGTGGTGGTTGCAGCGGGTGGTGAGGGCGAGACTGTGGTTGCGGCGGCGAGGAGGTCGTGAGGTCGTGGTTTGGGGTTGTGGTGGGTGAAGTGGAGGTGGAAGGTGTGGTGGTTTGTGGTCGCTGCGGGTGAGGAGAGCGGGGTTGTGGTGGGTGAGGTGTTCATGAGATTGTGGTTGTAGCAGATGTGGAGGAAAATCAAGGAGAGCGTGAGGTTGCGTTGGATGTAATTGTGGTTGTGTTAGTTTGGTGGTTATGGACTAGATGATTGTGATGATGATGTAGATTTACCAGAGACCTGCAGTAGTTGTAGAGGGCTTTTGTGTAGATGCTGTAGGAATTGGCTTGTGATTATGGTGGTTGCGGTGGCAGTTAAGGTGATTGTGGTTTGTGGTGGAGGATCAAGGACAGTGCAGTTGATAGTGAGGCAACTGCAAAGCCAGTGTTTTTTTCTCCTGGCTATTCTTGGACAAAGAAAGACATGAAATTGCAATTGAGTTTATGGATACATTTTATTGTAGTGACAACAAGGAAGGAATTTTTTTTATGGTAATGAATAGTGTTGGTGGTGATTAATGCGATGGTGAGTCATGCAATGACTTCAAGGGTTTTCTTGAAGATGTAATTAAGAGTTGTTTATGAAGTGAGTAGTCTAATTTGGGTTTATTATGTTTTATGTTAAATGAATGAGTTATCCAGTATGTTTTTTTAACTGTTGTTTTATTCCTACATATTTATTTTCTACTGCATTAGACTGATACTATGCCATTGTTTTAAGTTGTGTTTTGATGTGTTTTTATTTGTGTACATAAACCTATCTTGCCATCTTTGTCATTACTTGTAAAAATATTATGTATAAAGGCTTATCATAAGAGATAAAGAAATGGCTAAGTGTAAAAGAGAAGAAATATATATGTAGCTTTATTGTACAGTTCACTTTGCTTCCATAGGTTGAGATGTATTTTAAACTGAAAAATGAATTTCATTCCATTTGATGAAAGAAATGAACTATGAAATAATCCTTTTATAGTCTGTTCTGCGAACTGACACAATTTGAAGTAAAAAAAAAAAAGGTCATTACTTATTCAAAAGTTATCGTCATCAGATCCAATCTTATTCTGTGTTTGATTATAATGTTCTTTAGTGACAGATATGACTCCCATACAGCTGTCCTTTTCGATATGTTATTTTACCTGAAACAAATAATTTTAGTAATAATCTTGAAATGGACTGTTGTTGTATGTGCATTATTTAGTTACATTATTATTATTGCCAGCTTATGATTTGTATATATATATTTTTTTATACCGTTGGGTTAATTTCATCCTGGAGTTACTTAATTATGTTATCTTAAGAGATCTCCATATTTTAAGAATTATATTTTTAAGAAGAAAAGGGTAAATGATAAAAGGAATGACTCATTTCACTGACGGCAAATTCTTGCACTTCTCCCCACCCAGGCTTGGATGATGTGATACTTCCATACATCCATTACTTTGTCAATAATCAAGTAGATGGAAAAAGACTTCTCCAACTGAGCCATGATGAGCTACCTTCACTCCACGTCACCAAGATCGGACACCAAGAGATCATTTTGCAAGGAGTGGAACTGCTAAGAAATATTGTACGTTCAGAATTTGCTGGGGCTTTGTTTGTATATTGCATGAATGGTGTAAATGTTTGGGTGATTACTCTGGAAACCATGAGAGTAGGATTTTAAACTTTTTAATTCATATTATGAATTATATCAGTATGATTGCACCTAACCATATTTTTTTCTTCTTTCTGAATCTATGCACAGCATTACCACTTACACCAGGAGAATGTACAGTACTTAGCTCTCCGCCTGAGTTCCAAAGCTCGCAGCATCTACAATGAGCTTCGTGCACTGTCTGCCTCATCTAGAGGGGGTGGGGGGAGTGCAGGAGAGGAGGAGGATGGGGAAGAAGAGGAGGATGGGACAGGAGGGGACCGTGCTAGTGACAAAAAGAAGCAGGAGAGGGTTTCAACGGCTGTGATTGCAGGCGTTGCTGATGTTTTGTCATCAGTCAAAGGAGTTGTGTCATGGCTCAACAGGTGAGTTTTCCCTTTTTTTTCTGTCATCGAGGTGCAGTTGAAAAACACTAGTGGGAAGAGGCTTATCATATTAGTTACTTACCATACATGAAGACTTAGTAGGTGGCAAGATCCTGTTTCTCATTTCTCAGGCAACCCTTTGAGGGTGTTGAACAGTATGATAGCCTAAAGAGCAACCTGGTGGAGCTGAGCATCAGACTGGCCACTATTGCGCAGCGTGACATGTTTGCAGAAAATCAGGCCACAGTCATCCTCCAGTCGTGCCTCAAGCTGGCAAATATTTCTGATAAGATCATACAGGTTAGTTGTACATTGTAATGTACTTTGCATGTTACTAGTTCTAACTTTTGTTCACTGATTGTGGAAAAAAGTAACTCTGTCAGATAACTACTCTGTATCATATTTTCCCCACTTCACACAAAGAAATAGTATCAGCTCTTTTGTCATTCATTTTTCTTGTTCAAAGAAATATTACCAACTTACTCCAAATATTGAATCATACTAGTGCCAAGGGTTTTCTTTGCCATATTCATCAGTTTTTTGTATTCATATGTGATTGGTTTATTTTTATCCAGTACAACACCAAAGAATATAATTCCATTTCTTAACAGGAGTGCAATGATCCCCTTATCATCCAGCCAGCATCCTTGGATATTGCCACAATAAAGAAGAAAGCAGATGATGAATGGGTAAGTTGGTGCTTCCTGATTTTGTTTACTTCTAGTAATAAGTATTTCACAGGCCTAGCTGTTTGCTTTAATTTAGCAACTTGTTACATCTCATTCAGTCTTGCAAGCTGTTTTCCAAAATCATGGTACTAAAACAGTGGAAGTTAAGCTAAAATCATCAGTAGGAAGTGAGGGAGAAATAGTAAGCTTTTAAATTTTCAGACAAAAAGCAAAACACTCAAGGAAAAATCTTGGAATGTTATAAGTATATGAAATATGTATCAAGTTTTCCTCCTTGCATAATTCTAGATTCTATGCTTATGTGTTTGAATCAGTTTCACTCTCCATGGAAGCAGTGTCTTTACAGTCAGTAGGATCAATGAAGATCTGTAATATATTTGTTGATGTAAGCTCCCTGATGTTTTCCTGTGCTTCTTATCCCCCCCCCCCCAAGAACTTCTTTTTACTTCATTGTATGGAATTTTTCAGTGCCTGTACAATGTAAATTACAGGATATTATTAATCCTGGTGTTTGACAAGTAGTCACAAGGGATTTGTGGGAACAAAGACTTGCAAGGCTCCTTATTTCTCCTTCCTTTCAGGGAGTGATGCTACAGTCATCTTACCATGGGGTCCACCAGGTATCAGGGGTGCGTGCACTAAGCCCTGCACATCAGTGTGGCAAGTTGCAGGAAGGGGATGAGTTGGTGCAGGTCAGCTACCAGACAGTGGTGAGTGATGAGCAGACTGATGCAGTGAGATTTGAAGGATTTTTGTTACATACAGTATGTTTTGTTGTCTAATATATCTTACCATTGTTAGCTTTACAATATTCTTGAAAATGAAAAGAAATGTATAGAGGTGAATAAAACACTGGAAAGAAAAAAAATCACACAGACTTCTGTCCTTGTAGGTTGGCTGGGCTCCCCACAAAGTGGCAGCAATCATGCAGGAGTGTCCTGTGGAGGTGATTCTCACAGTGAAAAAGAGACCTTGTCATTCAAATACAGTGACACAGATCTACTTCAAGCCGTTCCGTCTACCTAGTAAAAAGAGGACCTACTCCCCTTGGGCAACCTCAGTCATGACATCACCCAGGGATGACCTCAAGAGCATTCCCAACCTTCAACTCCCACCGTAAGTTTTGCTTTCTTTCTGCCTTCCTTTTTTCTTTATTTTTTCCCCCTTTTGAGAACTTCTTTTGAACTATCAACCCGTTCACTTTATAATAAGATTTTAGGTCAGTTTGTGAGAAGTGTCAAGTGTTCATAAAGAAGTGAAAGGCATCCCATTATACATAACACTACTTTTCTAACTTATATATTTTTTATATGTGGCACTAACACACTTATCACTGCACACCGTAGACATATATTTATTACTTCATTAATACAGAAAAAAATGAATATAGATATAAATTTGTCCCCAATGGTTGAAAGAAAAAAGTTGGTCATAATATTATTTCTTCTATGAATTCAGTTCTTGCATATCACAGCATGTGTGGGCTTCAAAGATGAACATGTTTCCAAATCTTGGATTGAAAAGGCAAATTATCATGTCAAAATCAATAATATCATGTTTGACTTTACTTACCTTATAAACCTGTAGGGTTTCTGTTCTTTTTTGTGCTTTGTTTTTTTAGTAAGAAATCTATTGCTATTGTTTTTTATCCCAATAGGTCTGTTGGCAAGTCTTTACAGCGCACAGAGTCCAAGGAGTCACGTCCGAGGTCCCTCACCCCGCCACCAGCAAACAACACTCCCCCCCACGACCTCTGTCCTCACTCAGGTTGGAAACTGTTGGTAGTTATGTCACCAGAGATAAGAACCTGAGTATCACTTAATACTTGTAGAGAAGTCTGTTTTTCAGGTCACAGTAGATTATTTATAACTCATGTTTGGATTATATTGTAGTTTTCTTTCTGTAATGCTCATAATGAATAAGGATATTGGTCCCCCTATAGCAATGATGCACGAAACACGACATCGGATAGCGAGGCAGAAGACTCTGATCTGGAGGACGACCCATTCTTCTCAGACAGTGATGTTTGTGGCTCGTCCCCCATCAGTGCGCGACTTTACCACCCCAAGCCACGGGCACCAGTCCAAAGGCGAGCAACTATTCCTGGTGCAACAACAAGACCTTCCTTCAGCTTTGATAAGGTGGATGACAGGAAATCTGTCTTTTTTGTGATGTTCTGTGTAAAATGTAATTGCTGCAGTGTTTCAATTAGTATTGATATATGGTAAGAAATTTAAATGACTCATTTTCTTTGGGTGAGCAGCTACTGCAAGATGTGAGATGGCAGCGAGGTGGCCGCAGCCCTGACGGGCCAATACCCTCTGACCCAGACCTTCGTGCAACAGCTGGGGTGGAACAGCGTGCTGCTCGCCCCCATACATGCATTGGTACTGAGAAGAAAGATAGGATGACAGGAGGTAGTGAAGTGGCTGTGGTTAAGGAGGAAGGTGCAGAGGGAGATGTAGGATCTATCAAGAATGGTGCCCTGGAAACCTTTTCTACCAGTGAAGCCAGAGAGAGCTCCAGCCAGGAACAGTCAAAGGAGACTGGAGAGGAGAAGCGTGTTGTGAATGTGATTCCTCTGCCACCAAGGAAACCCACAGGACAGGGTATCACTCCCACTGTATTGGAGCCACACTCCCAGCATGACCACGGCGGAGATGGCAAAGCAGGTGGTGGGAAGGAGGCTGTAGCTGGGACTCCCAGTCACCAGGGCAGAAGGCCAAGCCAGCCAGCCTTTCCTCACAGCTCAAAGTGCCTGACAAGACCTTGAAAGCTGGCCAGGAACTCAAACTGGACATTTCGACTAGACAGAGGAGAGTATCAGAAGATAGGCCTAAGCTTGACAAAAGCCACAGCACACCAGCTTATGATATGGAGGAGGAGAACACTTTGCAAGGGGTAGCTTCACCTGCACTCACACCACTTGAGAAGTCTCCAGCAAACAGGCTTCATCACCCAGATTCTTCAATACAGACTCAAAATCAGCATTTGGTAGGTTTTTGCAGTTCATTCTAGATTGTGTTATTCTCTGTTAGTGTCCACTGTGTAGTCTTTCAGGTTTCAGGTTTGTGTCCCTGGATACTTCTTATTGTATGTTGTAGCTCAATGGTGTATGGACAGTGTAGCACCATTAAGTAAATAAGAAAATATTGTGCAGTATCTTTCTTGGATGATTTTGCTTAATGAATTGCAGGGAATAATGGTTGATTATTAAGAAACTGATCAGTTCAAAAGCATTGTGATTGAAAACATTGTTTCAAGCTGGATCTGATGATAGATATATGCAGACATGGTATCATTGATTTAGAATAATGGGCTCCTTGTTAATCAAAATGATATATTGCTTAGCAGCATTTCAATCCACTTAGAACATACTGCTCAAAATCTTCTTTGATGATCTCAGTGTTTAGATGAAATCCCTTTTTCTTTATACTTCACTTTGTCAGATTTCTCTTGACAGTTGTTAAGAAAGGCATGAATTGAGTACTGATAATTTTCCAACTTTATAATCTTCACCTTATTTTTCTTGAGCCTTTCTCAGCAATTACCTTTGACAGTATTCATCAGTTTCACAGCCACAGCTTATGCTCTATCTAGAAGCATGATTGATTTCTCCAGCAGTTAGTGGAGGCGACACACCCCTCGGGTTTCCCGTGATGGGCAGTCCAAGGGGCAATCTAGCCAAGCCTTGCGGGGGTCGCAGCCCAAGCCTACTACAATCATATCCTCCGCAACCACAAATATAGGTGATGGGTCCACACAACATTACAAGTCGCAGGTTATCTTCCCCATGAGTGCAGCCTCACATAGCACTGCACAATCCACCACCCATGGTGTAGGCCGTCCAGAAGGTACCAGCGGAGATGACAAGCGTGGCGGTAATGATGCTGATGGTGGTAGGAAGCCAGCCTGTGGCAGTGGTACAGGGGGAGCTGGTGGTGGTGGCGACCCTTGGAATGAAGCGAGAGGTAGTGGTAGTGCGGGTACTGGTGGAGGTGGCGGGATAGAGAGGCAGCAAGAGGTGAGGGCAGGAGCCTTGGCTAACCCTGAGCCCCCAGCCGTTGTGCTTAGGGAGACACGGAGTAGTTCACCCTCGGTCTGGCGTCGAGGAATCTTAGTGGCAGATCAGGGTAAGAGTCAGGAATGCATGCAGAATACTAATGTCTCTCACTCTAGATGTGGATGAAGTTTGTCTCGGTATGTTACACGTAGTGCATGCTAAGAGTAAGAGAGAAATGAAAAAGTGAACATCGTAGACTTGATGTCAACTTTCTGTTTTTCCAAGACACAAAATTAATGTACACTTGATTATAGCCATAGTTTCCTTCTCATATAACATTCTTGTTTAGTGTAACCTTCCTTGCCTTTCATATAGAAGTACTTAGGTATCCTAATGTTAAGCATTACTAATGTACTTTCCCAAGCAGCTTTGAATTCATACCTTAATAACTAACCATGTTACATTTATGATGCATTATTGGATTATCATAGTGAAAACTAGGGTAGATAGAGAACTACTTTAGTATAGACATTAAAGAGAAACAGAAATTGAAAATGAGATATTTGCTTATATTTTATATTATCTTGTGGCTTGGTATCAATGCTGATATGTATGGCCTTGGCTCTGTGTGTGTGTGTGTGTGTGTGTGTGTGTGTGTGTGTGTGTGTGTGTGTGTATGTGTGTGTGTGTGTGTGTGTGTGTGTGTGTGTGTGTGTGTGTGTGTGTGTGTGTGTGCGTGTGTGTGTGCGTGTGTCTGTGTGTGTGTGTCTGTGTGTGTGTGTCTGTGTCTGTGTGTGTGTGTGTGTGTGTGTGTCTGTGTCTGTGCGTATATGTGTATGTGCGTGCATGTACTTTTCTGAGTGTCAGATGAGTGATAGTATTTGTGTGTTTTATGGATTTTCTGAGGTTTTGTGCATTAATCTGTTACATTATGTATGCATCTGTGGGATCATACATTGTATATATGTGAACAAGTGTTGAAAAAAAGGACACTTCTTACCATGAAGAGTTGATAATAGACCCAAGTCTCAGCCAGTTTCCACCAAAAGCCCAAGTTGACTCTTGCTGCCCACTACAGGAAGTCGCCGCATCTCATGTCGAGAGCTAGGCCAGGGTGACCACCAAGGATGGCTTCTCCGCCGCAGAGATAATAAGGGCTTTCTCCTCCCGCACCGCTGGGAACGCCGGTGGTTCATCCTGAAGGTAGGTGCTAAGTGAGGTTATGAGATTGTATATTGAAATATTGAAAATTTACCTAAAATAATTTCTCTACTGGCTGTGTGAATCCTTGAAACCTTATCCTCCGGATGATGTGGGGTTCATGTCATGGCAGACTTGGGCATGGCACTGGTGACAGGTCATTCACATGGTGCTACAATGATGCTTGCATTATATCTTATGCTTTATAAGGAATTTTCATGCCAACTGCCATATGCCCTGGCACATAGCCTAAGGGAAGGCGGGATGTGTAATGCAATTATAGGCTATTGTTTGTATTAATGGCGATATTTATGAAAGTTATTATTTGCCTACTTTGTATGGAAGACGTCATGCACCAAAATATTGCACTTTTTTTTATGTTAACATGAAATTAACCTTAATTTTAATTTATATGATCAGTTTCCTTGTAGACATTAATCACATTGTCTTTTGGCATTCTATCAGTGTAAATGCCTTGAAGTATGACACATAAGGCAAGTATTGAAACTGTAGGAGTAGCAGCCCAGTATATATCTTATTACAATTTTTTGATTTGTAAAAATAAGATTTACAACAAGAGAAAATCCTTTTTTACACAGAGTGTAACACACTTTGTTTATGGTAATGTACATAATCAGACTACTATGGGTTTGATCCAGCAATCAAGTGAATATCATGCATCTCTGAATATTTACAAATGTTAAAATAATGTTTTGCATTCAAGTGTTACAATAAAAATATATATCACTTTGTTGGTGTGATGTGGCAAGTGCTACATACTAGCCACATAGAAGAAGGCCCCTGAGGCAAACCAAGTCGGCTGTGTTTACTGGCCAGGATGAAGGCCAAGGGAACCCCAAATTCTCCTGGAGGCACTGGGTTGATACTTCCATTGCTTACTAATGGAACTTAATCTCTTGCACACAGAAAAACTACCTTTATGGCTACCGTGACAGGGAAGCTGTTAGAGCTGACTCCCTCATCTACCTCCCTGGTTTTCATGTGTGTCCTGCACCTGATGTCAAGTCCAAGAAACTTGCTTTCAAGATCTATCACTCAAGTGGGTTTTTTATTTGTTTGTTGGTTTTTTGTTTTATGATTTACCTTTAAGAAGAATGTTTACTCAACACTGAAAGTTGTGAAGTCATTTGGAGAATGTTAATTTTTTTCCCTCTTATTTCATTTAGAACTTTCATTGGTTTATTGCAACATGTAAATAAAAGGAATATGTGGTATCATTACAACCTTAGCTGACCATTTTTATGTTCTGGGAATATCATGCTGATTTTATGAGAATTAATGTTATTACCTAGTGTGATTATAAGGCACTGAGAACCATCTTGTTTTTTGTGCCACTGCTTACCACTTTGGATGTCTGACAGGTGGAGCAACATTCTACTTTGCCTGTGAAACAGCAGAAGAACGCAGCCGCTGGATGAGCCAGATGGGGCTATCGGCCATTTCCTCAGGGTCTCAAGGCCGCCATCAGCACCATGCTCACCAGCCGAATGGTATGTATTTTTGCAGCATGGGCATGCGATTTCAATCCAGTTTATTTGAGTTTAAGAGGGTCGTATGAAATTATAAATTGTAGCTCAGGGATTAGGATGAGGAGTATCTAAAAAGAATGATGTTTCTAGATTATTGAGATAAGGCTTGATACAGTAATTGATGTTGGTTGGTTTGGTGGTGCAACTACAAGATCATGATTGATTCACAATTTTTCAATGAACATGATGTTGTAATGATATATTTTGATGCTAGCATAAAAGTTCTTTTTATGTATGGAAAGCGTATATTTGTTATTCCTATATTATTGTGTTCTGGTAGGTAGTGATGGAAGTAGTGCACATATATTTTTGAAATATGATTATAAAAAGGGTTCGAAAGGGACAGGGTTAAGGTCACGTTGAAAGGAGAGCATCTAGCTCATAAATGAGGACAATTTTTTATAATATATTATGCATACCCTATCTCCGTTTGCATTGCAGCAGGTGATGATGTATATTATAGTGAGACAGATGAAGAAATGGAAGAGCGAGCTTCCCCTTCACGGCGGTCCCCACAGTCACCACAGTCGAGGTAAATCTCACCATCGTCATTGATGCAGATTAATCAGAGCTCTTGCTGTGCTCCTCTTTTTCCCTTGCCCTCTTGTTCTGGTTGTACTAACTTTCTAAAGATGCTTAACGGAAGCAATGAAAATCCGAGGGATATGGTGGA